TATAGGGGCTTAAACGATTTTATTTAAAAAAAACTTATTTTGGAAATTAGTTTAGAAAATAGTTTTAAGATAAGCCCAGAATACACAAACATGTCGCGGGCCTAAGCGCAATTTCATCTCATTAAAAGAAAATTGCTCTCTAGAACAAAAGCCAGTAGACGTAAACTCAAACTCAAACTCAAAATATCTTTATTCAAGTGGGTAACCAAGTACACTTTTGAATAGTCAAGTTAAATTAATCGTAAATTTACATTTACTACCAGTTCGCAAGTCAAGGGCGTAGAGCGGGTAAGAAGAACTGGCAAGAAACTTTCCGCCACTCTTTTTAATCGCCAAGTATTGTCATACAAATTGTTTGAACTGGAGCAATTCAATCCCAAGGATTAGGATCATTTAAGTAGTCCTCAAATTTATAAAAAGCTTTGTTGATTAATTTTCGTTTAACGAGGGCTTTGAATTTATTTAGTGATAATACTCTAATTTCGCTTGGGAGTTTGTTGTAAAAACGAATACAATTTCCATATAAGGAGTGGTTTATCTTTTGGAGCCTGGTTGGTCTTACACTCAAATTAGTTCTATTTCGCGTATTATACTGGTGAAAGTCACCATTTGTTTTAAAATCGTTTATATTTTTTTAGACATACAACAAGGCTTCAAGAATATATTGACCAGATAGTGTCATAATATTTAATTCCTTAAACTTATTCCGTACACATTCCGGAGAAACACAACAAATACCCCGAACAGCCCGCTTCTGCAGCACAAATATGGATTGAACCTCTGCAGCAACGTAGGTACAGAGGATAGGAATTGAGTTGTTGAATTGTATTGTTTGAGTTGTATAAAACAATTGAAAACTTCAACATTGTCTTGACTGTTCATTAAATATCAACTAACCAATAAGATATATTAAGAAATAAACGAAAGTTTCGACAATTTTTTTATCAATTAAATATTTTTCGTATCTCTAGGGGGCTGCCTCTACCTGCCCCCTCCCCCTTGGCGAGGGCTCGTTATTAAAGTAGCCGAACCTCTTATGGTAAGAATAAATTAAGAGTCCTTATATCAAAATCTATTACGTTTCTACGTTTCTATTTAAAATAACCCTTTTGGAAATTAATGTTTAATTCTTATAATATACGATTACGACCTCTGGAAAAAACAAGCTGTAAATTATGTATAATTGTCATATAAACAGAACAACTTGAAAGCGTTTGTAATAGTGTGTGTAATTTTACTCTTGTCTTTGGTTTTACAAACTTTTTTTATTTTTATATAATGAGGTTTTTATATAAGATTTTGTCTGAGAATTAGAGTGTTTAAATTCCCAAGCATTAGGCAATTGTTAGGAACATGAATGCCTCTACCATATGCCTTCTGTGCCAACACATTTTGTGTTTAAGGCATGCCGGTTCCCCCACTATGATTTCCTTCAAGTGTTAAATACGCACATATTAAGAAAAATACATTAGACCAACATTTGTGGCCACTACGCGAAGAAAAATATATTAATTTTAATCCCATATACATAATTAGTTAATTACCTGCGTAATTAAGCGTATTTGTTTTGTAAAATGTTATTTACAATTAAATGTTGAATTAGGGTAAGTTAAATTTATTTTCTCTGATAATACGAGAGCTTAGAAGGGTTTGACTACTCGGAATCAACATTATGATTTAAAAAGTAATGATTTTTTCGGATTAACCAAAAAATGACTTGAAAAAATCGATTAAACAGACGCAAAAAGGCTTATTAGTAATCGACCCATAACGTATAATCTAAAATTCCTGGGTTTGATTCCAACGAATCAATAACTTTTGGCATGTAAAATCTCGAAAAAAATCACAACAATAATTGTCGGATAGAAAAACAGACGCAGAAATGTGTCTGCCCCATGGCCCATTACGGGACTTAATCTATAACCCGTCCGTTCCCACGTGCGGGCAGTCAAAACATGGGATTAGCGCGACGGGGGTCGATACTAGGAAGTAGAAAAAGGCGATTTACAGCGCCCTTAAAGCTAACGATAAAATTGATACGAGTTCCGGGAGATTTGGCTGATGATTTGTAGGCAATATATTCAGAGAACTCCCGAATTTCACACTGATGACGTAATTATCTACGGTTATTTATTGCCAACATGGATTCGGTTCATGTTACACGTGTGGTGACATGATTAGTGTTTAACGCTTAGCACCAAATGTAAGATGAAAAAATGCAAAAAGCGACATGTTTTTATACGTATGAAGTCTGACCGTACAATCATTAAGAAATAATATGTAAAGATAACAAAGGAATATTATATTGTTAACAATTATTACTTTTAAATATTAATATATAATAAATTCTTAAAATTGATTCAGTTAAAAATATTTATTTTTGATTAATGATTTTAATATTCGTTATATACTTTTATAGTTTTGCTTTGGCTTTATACCTACAGGATAAGATCTTTATATATCGAACATGTCGAACCGTATGTCGAACATTTTAGAGTTAATTGAAACATATCAATGGCGCTACAATACGGTCTAGTCCTGAAATATCCTTATCTGTTTCGTGATTTGATATAAAATAGGCAAAGAGGTGATTATGCCTGTGTTTGATTTAACATTATACGGGAGTCATAAACTATTTTTTTTTATAGAACAAGGGGCAAACAGGCAGGAGGCTCACCTCATGTTAAGTGATACCGCCGCCCATGGACACTCTCAATGCCAGAGGGCTCGCGAGTGCGTGGCCGGCCTTTTAAGAATTGGTACGCTCTTTTCTTGAAGGACCCTAAGTCGAATTGGTTCGGAAATACCTCAGTGGGCAGCCGGTTCCACAAAGTGGTGGTGCGTGGCAAAAACTGCCTTGAAAAACGCTCAGTTGTGGAACGGCGGACGTCGAGGTGATACGGGTGGAATTTCGTATTCTGCCTTGACGTCCGATGATGAAACTCAGCTGCAGGTATTAATCCGAACAACTCCTCTGAACACTTCTTTACTTACACTGCAAATTTTTACTATTATTATTTTTTCTACTAAGTATTTTTATTATTATTATTTTTCTTTTTTTGCGACTGAGGCGCAAACTAGCTGTTGTGGTCTCTGGCAGAATGGTCATTCTGCCCAGCGCTGTGGAACAGTCTGCCCCTCAGCATAATGCTGAGCCAGGGCCAGTTACAACCACAACACAGACGCATTACACACTATACACGCAAAACGTACCCTGCTTTAAAAAAGATTGTTATTTTTCATTATTTTTTTATTATTATTATCTGTGTCTGTGTCTATGTTAGTTGATAATTTCTTTTTGCTTTATACAAAATGCAGCTTTTGCAATTGAAAATTTTCAATATATTTTTCAATATTTCACACATCCATTAGTAAATTACCTACTAAATAATATAATAATAGCTACGTAATACCTTAATCCGATTACAACTATTCACTTATTTTATCCTTTTTTCGTATACTATGAGATTCGTCACCACATAGGATGTACTTATATCTTTCATTGCGAGCCACGCGCATTTTATATCTACTGATAACATCTAGTAACTTTAAATATTTCTATTCTATATTTATATATTTCGCCACCTAACTTATTAATATCAACGCATTTTAAAATTTTAACTTACTTCAAAGAAATTAATAATTCGACTTGTGATTACGGAAACTTATTAAAAAGCTCAAATGAAACTTTTTTAAAGGCTCCCATGGGATGCAGAGATGTCCAAATGGACCATGGAGGCTGATGGTGATGATTAAAAACCCAATTTAAAATCGCTACCTACGTATACATATATTACATACACAAGTAAAGTCATAGAATCGTTTGTCTATGACAAGAAAAATCATAAACCATACTCCACACATATCGCAGTAGTAGAAACAGCGGGGAGTCCTTGGGTTGGGCTTAGCAGTCAAGTCGGATCACATATTTGTTTATTTTTAATTTGTTTACTCAAAACAAATTACCCTTAAGGGATAAGCTTGTCAAATATTAAATATCAAAGAGGTATTTGTACTGTTTCATTTAAAAAAAACTATAATTTTGTCAGAGTTTAAATAAAATAATAAAAATAAAAAGCCTTTATTGTTGTTAACAAGTTTTACACAGAGTAGTTTCGTATGCCTAAAATTAATTTACTTATGACTAGAAAACACATTTTGACTATTAACTAGAGTTTAACTAATATACTAACAATTTTAATATCTATTGATTATCGGCAAACGGTAGTTCGGTTACAACTTGTCTTCCGACAAAGGCCTCCTCTAAAGCTCTAAATATCATATTATTTGAGTATAAATATCATATTTTAAATTGCTGATATCTTTCCTGATGGTCCCGGCTTTTACCACCACGATATTAATCGCCATGACGCCCATAAAACGAAAAGGTGTGTGAGGGGAAATATAAAAAAAAACCAGCCGCCTCTCAGCATATATTTTTGTATGAGTTTCTTTTAATTTTCAGTCTTGTCTTCATTATCCAATTTACCTTTGTGTTAATGAGCCATATTTTATTTGTCTGAATACAGAATAAAATTAAAAAACGAATTTCAATAGAAACGGTTATAACTAGAGTTGTGTCGGACGAGGAAAAAATTACGATTTTTTCAGTATTAACGTAGTAACGAATTATACGTAAGCAAACGTGCTATACACTATATAGATATATGTATATATCCAGGAGTAAGTTAGGCCATAGGACTACTGTGCGTACACAGAGCATTCATAATACAAATACGAAACAGACAGGTATGTAACGACTTAATAAAAACCATGTGAAAAGTAGTCCTATAGATTTAATGTGAGTGATAACCGGTACAATGATAGCCGATAGGGCTGAGTTTGGCCGGAGTAGTCAATGGGAGAGGGTGGGCGGGGCGAGCGGTATACGAGGCGGGGCGGGGTGGGACTGTGCGCGCGCGCATCTCGCCGGCGATCAGACGCCAGTTGACAAAGCGACGCTGAGCGCGCCGCACGTCCGCGAGTGATACATATACGACATGCTGCACGAGACGTGGCCTGAGGCCTGCCGGCTCCGCGGCCGAACCAACTACAACACCCTGGCCGATTTCATAGCTGAGGTTAACAACAACGAACGAAAAGGTCAGTCCTTGCCCCGCCTCGCTAGCCAATGCGGCTGTTACACGTTATATTGTTTACGAAATGTTACTTAGTTTAAAAGTGTTTACGTATTACGAACACCTATTGTTTTTTATAACAACGTAATTTAACATCGTTGTACATATAGAAAATTTCCCTTCGTTTATAGCGGACTTGAACAATTTTTAATTTATGTAGGTAGGCAGTAGGCACAGGTTCGATTGGTGGTCATATTATTGTGTAGTGAAGAGACAGTGCGGTGGTATTATGGTAGTGTGTGAGCCAATGGCGGGTGTGCTAAGCGTGTGTGCGTGTGTTACAGAGGGCGCGGAGGGTACAGGAGGTGCAGAAGGCGCGGCGGGCGGGGGCGGGTCTCCGGGCGCGCGAAGCTATGAGGAACTGCGACCGCCAGTCGCGCGCGACATGCAGACATACGTGCACCTGGAGGAGGCGCTGTTTAAGGCGGGGGGAGAATACATGCACCGCAGTCCCGACCTAACACCCTCGCCCGAACGCCGCGAGGATTCCTACCGCACGATGCACTACGAGCCCTACTCACCGCCGTCCGCGCCGCCACCATATCACCACCTCGACAAGTGAGTACATATCGTTTAATCGTACATAAGCCTCGGAAGACCTTGAAGCAATGTTCGTTATGTTAATTGAGGACGGTAGCTGATGGCAATAACGAACTATCAAAAAGTCTTAAAAAAAAGACTCCAGTCGCGTTTCATTCAACCCTTTGAAACGTTTGCCAAAGAACAAGGAAATGAGTAATTTAGGTTTCGATGAGGTCATTAGGTCCGAAACTAATTATTTTTATTATTATTCCAATTATAGAACTACAGGCGATTTTAAGCTATTACGCCTTTTTCTAGTCAACTCACCAGCTAGTAAAAAATACGAGGCAGCTTTATGTAGAGTTGAAATGGGGGAAAATTCGGGTTTACTGATACGGAGATTAGGACATAAATTGGTAATAGTTGTACTTGGAGGCGGAGGCACAATTGAAATTACTTGCATATAAATGTTTAATACATATGAGTCTTACGTGTTACAATTAAGTATTTTTACAAGAGCATATGGATACTTGCTTCTTGTAAAACTGCTTCACAAAGTTTATAGTACGGTTAAATAGTCAGCGTAAATTTCTTATATACTGTTTTATCTTTCTCGATACAAATTGTACAATTTATTTTTATCAGTACTAGTATTATTATTATAGAAACTATCCAATCTATTTTTAAAGGAGTTTAGAGATGGTGCACTGATTACACTTTCCGGAAGCCTATGCCAGTCGGCCACTACTCGGTTTAGTAGAAAGTTCTTTAGGGAATTTGTGTTATGTTGAGTGGTCTTAAGTTTTAAAGAACTACCCCTCAAATGTGCATTTTCACTTAAAATAAAGAGCTTCTCAATTCCTGGAACATTATAGTGGCCAGTGAGGATTTTATAGGTTTCAATGAGATTTCCTTTTAATCCCCTACTTCCTAAATCAGACGCTCATTATAAGATTTCTTCCTGAGTGACCTGATCATTTTCGTGGCTTTTCTTTGAACACTTTCAAGCATACTAATATCCTTTATGAAATAAGGGTCCCAAATGCTGTAGGCATACCCTAATAGTGGTCTAATGTAACATTTATATATCTTTAAGAGTGTTCTTGAAAGGCATTTGAATGAAGTATAAAATATAAGTATAAAAAAGACATCTATTAACAAGGCTTAGGTCTATAAATATTCATGGTTAGTTATTATTTAATGATGTTGGTACTCCTGTCTCGAGACAACAACAAACACATTAGGCGATGTAACAAACAAATATAATTTATATCTGCATATAGCATTTCTATTTTCGTTAAATGGCACAGTTTTTATTAAGTAAACATGTTTTTAAAGCAAATTCTTTTTATTAATTATTACGAATCCTAGATTGTAATATAATTTTTGACATCTGGCAACATTTATAGAAAAAACTATATTTAAGTAGTTTTTAGAAATAGTACCTATTGAATATATCGATTCGTTAGAGTCTTGAGCTAATCCCGATTAAGCGATTTAATATTGTCAAAATCCTATATTTCACAATGTTAATATTTTTTGATCAAATTTTTGATACTCAAAACTGAATATCTATTTCTTTGCACTAAAATATACACGATACATAATGTATACCTCTCTATATATGTAATTCGTTTGTTTATAAGTATTTGGGGACCTGAGAAGTGAGATGAGTACTTGAAAATGTGTAACTACTTTTTGGATTTGTGGATCGTTTATCGTACGATAAAGTGAGAGGGTTCTCCTTAAAATAAAAGAATCACTGTCTTTATATAAATGTGAATAGTTGAATCAGGTTCTCGTTCATATTATTAATGATTGATTGTAGACGGAAACGAGTGAGAGAGATAATCTTGGTGCATGAATAGTTTGCGAAGCGCTCTTCATGAAGCGAATATAAGTGAATGATTGTGGGAGATGGACAGATAGAGAGGTCGGACGGCAACCAAAGGGCGCAGGGATATCGCAGCTGCGATATGGAGCCGGCACTCCGTCTGGCAGGCTGCCAGATAGCGCCATACGCCTATCTCTCTATCACCTCTCTACGCTAATAGTAAACATATTACGTTCACTTCCGATAGCCTCACTCACGCCGTATTTTCGCACGTGTTTAACATGTGCAAATCGCTCATACTTTGGTGGATTAATTAATTAGTCGATTGCGAAGAAGCCTTCGGGTGTAGAGCATGTTGCAATGGGCAGTACGTGCCTACAGGGCGCGTTTCGACACGCCGCGGCGCACATTCCGCGCAGCGCACGTCCCACGTTGTTCGCTGCCTCCCGGAATTTTCCGTCTCTCGTTATCATTGTTCTATTACTCAATCCTTTTGGACCTCGAACCCTCCTCTTTTAAATATTTAATTATGCTTGTGACGTCGTTTAGACTCTTTGGCTCTGTAAACTACGCTGTGGAATGATTTGTTTTATTGTTTCTGTCAGATGCTTTGCGGTTTAGCAACAAATGAGATTTGATCGTTTCCATTTTTACAGAATCGTTAATATTTATATTATCTATTTTCATAGTTACAAACGATATTATCCTGTGGCGGATGATCTGTCGTTCTGCCATGATTGCCTACAATTAGAAAGAGAAACTATGTTAGTTTTAATAATTTTGTGATTTTCTTGCATAGTTAGTATTTCTATTCACCTAATAAGTCTCCTACTATCGCCGACAAATCGTTCAAAAAGTTATAAGACAAAGCAATTATTCAAACTTTAAAATACTTAAGCATAATTTCAGGAACTAATTAAATAATTTTCGTTATAATTTCGGGTTCGGCAGGCCAGTGAATAGTAATTATTGTCCTCGGTTATTATCGTTTGCCGCAATTAACAGCGCGACCACTCGTTCGTGTGTGCGTGTTCACACATAAACAACATTTTATTTAATTGGCAATCTATTTTTACTTGTTAATAGTTATATTACCAGAACCTCAATGTAGACATAAACATCCTTTATTCGTTTTAGGAGCGTATTTAAATTTTTGTTTTTTATACCATCTTGCAATATGTGACGTATGTACCTATTGTATTTTTGCAAATGGGCCAGGCAAGCTCTTCTAATGACAGTTATCTTATCAGGCAAAGAGCTTACATTACTCAGAATGTTTTGTGCAAGCTGGCAGAGCTTCACTGACTCAACGTTCTGAAGATTAGTGGCCATAGTTTAGATTACGAACAATTACTTAATGACCGTGTCTTAGTAAATATTTTGTTTGTTTAACTAGCTAACATTATGTCCACAACCCTGTTAATGGTACTAATTAACGCAAGAAATAGAAGGTTTAATATTAATAATAAATAAAAGTTTATGGCTCGGTTTCAAGTGTTGGTGAGATGTTGGGATAACAAACAAGATTGTTTGACGATGCAAGCATTAATTTATAGCAAACGTTCTAAGTAGTTAAGCAAACGACCCTCGAGATCGGTGCAAATACACGTCGCAGGCGCAGCCCCGGCCCAGGAAACGGAAAGAAAAAGTAAAGTTGTTTGCCAAGTCACGAGTCAAGACGAAATGCGTCAACTCGTCGATAATGTGACAAATTATCGGCGCCAACGGTCCGTTAAGATAGTCAAGACCTTATAAAAAGGAGCTTACGATTCGGGAACGCAACTTACGCCAGATCTATATTCGTCTCCTTATCGTTTCGTATTTGGAATTTTCCTTATTTTAATTGCCAATGCAAACAAATCATAATAGTTAGAGGAAAATATTGAGTGAATATAACAAACACTAATGACGTGACAAATATAATAACGACTGGCCACAGTCAAGGGTCACGGGTCGCAAAGACTATGCCCGGATCATATCCAAATTTGTCCTCTTTATTTACGGCGTCGAGTGACGTCTTAAGTGTCTCGAAACGACTTGTTTGTATAGGCTCTTAGGATTGGGATTATAGCCCTGCGCAAATATCGCCCAACGCGCGCTCTCACCATTCTCAACAATTTTTTTCAATTATCCTTTATCCTTTTTTTTGAATTCTAAATTCAAAATTGATGTGAGATTCTACGAACTCTTTCGGTATTAGATCTCGTTAGCTAATGTAATGTGATAACGTGGGTTAACACTGTCCGCGGGGAGTCAACCGGAAGTGCGGACACGTGCAAAGGCACGGGCCAGCACCGGACATGTCCTGTTGGTAATACGGGCACTCACACGTGTTAACAGTGCTTCGACAACTGCGGTTTTGTCTTCGCCTGACTGAAAACGTGCAATATCGGTTTGTAATTCTGCCGGAGCCGTAACGTATAGCTAATAACCATAAAGTTTAAAGTGCGTAAGGGAAAACAATAGAAGTGAACGGTCGTGCGAGTAGGGCACTGGGTTCCGGGTTCTCGTGTTACCGCGTTATATGGACGTGTTTATGCTTATCGAGCCCAGCTGACTACCACTCATCACGAGGAAATGTTTGGTACGATAACGTAGTTGCCCTTAGATGGAGTCTCGCCTATTGGGGAACCAGCGTGGTTTCGTTGCCTGGCAACTAGTAGCGGTAGATGGTAGTAACCTTAGTGAGTCTTGTAATTATGGTGGCATGTTGACGCAGTCGTTAAACTGTACCTAATACATGCAAGCAGGTCGAGGTAAGCGGGGTGAGGGAGGGGGGCATGTTCCGGGCCATTAGCCGCGCACTACATCCCATAGTGAACCGCGGTTGTAAGCGAGTTGGCGTTGTAATTACTTATAACATAAGCACGGCAACAGTTACGTACTAACATACATAGGGCTTAGGATCTAGCCGTCCAGTTAATTTAGTAACGTACTATTAAGTTAGTACTAATCGATATCTGACTGTGACGCTGCGATGATGTTACACAATCGTTTCTTTTATTATATGGAAACGCAAATATAAAAGAGCAAGGTCTGATTGTCATATGTTTCACAACAAAAAAACTATAAAAGCAAACTTAAAGAACTTAGAAGATCGTTTTAAGACTTGTCTACTGTCAAACCGCGATCTTGTCTTTATAAGATTTGAAAATCATTCAAAATCTGACGTTCAATATTTCGTTATAACTATAATTACTTACTTATTATTGATTTTTTGTTCAAGATTGGGATTGATTTCACATATGTACCAATCGGAAAACTGCGTGTTCGCAGTTAACAATAAACGTTCAATGCTTAGTGTTTATAATACATATTTTTGAAAATATTCTTTAACTGTCTCAATCTTCGCAATTTCAAGATACGACTGGCTGGATTTCTTTCACAATAAAAGCTAGAGATAACCAACATATAGAAGTAGACCCACTCAATTTTTGGTTGCTATCTCATGCGAGACCTGTACATTAAAACTTGCTGATACATATAACATATACTTACTTTTCATTATATATTATTTATTTCTAAATGCTAATTTATTAGTCTGTGAATCTATCTAGGTATAATAAACGAAAAACAAGTTTTAAAGAAAATTGTAGGTAATAATGAACATATTTATTACAAAAGCGAAGATAGTTAATGGTACTTGCAAATACATATGTAAATTGTCAATGTCATTAATTAAATATATGCTTTTTACTTGTGGGTTTCAGCGTGAACCCCATTTTAAGTAGATACTTAAAAAAGTCAAAGTCAAAAGTCAAAAATCATTTATTCATGTGGGTAACACAATGTACACTTACCTATGAACGTCAAAAAAGAAATATACATTAAATGCTTCTAATTTTACATTTACTGCCAGTTATCAAATCAATGGCGTAGAACGGAAGAGAAGAACTGGCAATAAACGCTCTTAAACTTTCATTAAAGCAACTAGAATTGTCTAATAGAAGGTTAAATATAATCTATTGATTAAAGGAAAATACAGGAGTACTTTAATAGGATATTCCTTAATATTATTTCTATATTCTAGGTTACATATAAGGATTTGGAATCTACCCTTTTGTCACAATTTTTGTAATAGCACGATAATTTAACATTCTTTCGTTTTTGTTTTTCTTCCATTAGTTTTTTTTTTAATGACAATTCACACCAATTGACCTAGTCCCATGCTAAGCTGGTGAAGCTTGTGTTATGGGTACTAGGCAACGGATATACATACATATTATAGATAGATAGACATATAAATACATATTTGAACACCAAAGACCTAAGCACAACACCAAATGCTCATCACATCGATGTTCGTCTCAGCCGGGGATCGAACCCGGGACCCATGGATTCGCAGTCAGGGGTACTAACCACTAGACCAATGAGTCGTCAAATTTAATAAAGATTAATGTTATATAGGATGTAATGTTATTTATATGTATTCATGTAATTTTCTAGTTGTTTCCTTGCAATTAAAACATTAAAATCCCTTTGTAGTTTATAAAAACGAATGAAAAATTTAATTGAACTGTAAAATTTGTTATAATTATATACCAAATATTATCTTTTAAACTGCCGTGAATAATTGTGTTGTTCATTAATATGTATTTTACAAGCCTGAATTGTATCTGGTTTCTCGTTTTTATTACAGTGCATAAACACGCTCATATTATAATTATTAGACATTTTAAATAAAAGACAGACATTTAATATTTACCGCAAACGTTCTGCGACCACAAACAGTTTATATAAAGAATAATTTTAGTACTTGTTTTGATCACTTACAATGAAATTTTAATTTAAAACAAATATTTTTGAATTAAAATTATTTCTCATGTTGATATTTTTCATAATAGTATTTATGAATTTAAAAAGATTATTCGCGGTGAAGGCTTGCAACCTGAATAACTTAATTTTTTTGTCATTCTATTTTACATATTATATACTGTATGTAATTGTTAATATTTAGTAAACCAGCACTGAACATTCCACTAAAATGCTGTGTACAGATCTAATTGGACTTCAGGTTTACATATTATGTTGTTTAGTGTGTTATAACTGTATGTATTAACCAAACTGTTTTCTGTTTCTGTACCTAAAATGTAAAAATAAAAATAAAATAGATATTCTAGTATGTTTTTTAATAGTAAGATACTTATCTACAGTGGCGGCGTAGCGGAGAGCAGCGTAAGCGGCGGTGGAGCGTATTCACGCTGCGCTGGTTACGCCAGTGGCAACACGACGTACTACAGCGGAGGCGGAGAACTTGGACAGCCACAAACATGGGGTGGTTCATCACCCGTCTATTGTGGGAGCACTGTACTTGGTGATTATGTGGAAGGCGAAAGTGGAGGCGAACCCGCCAGTGGTGGAGCGCTTCCCCCTTTTAGTGCGCGCTTCGGTAGCGCCTATGCCTCCACATCGCGCGCTGCCGCCACTGCGCCTACTACCTACACGCAACCCGTAAGTACCTATCCTTTAGCTGTGACCAACTTACGCCCGAACCCAATAATCAATCCACAATGTCAGATTGAAAACAATCTGAGATCAGACCGTGACAGTCGATCCAACTCCTTTCTGCATCCCAATAACCAAACCCTACGAAGACAATCCATTTTTGGCGACGGATACAATGCTCTGTCGTTCCATTTTACCGAGTTTTCACTCATATATTTTGTTAAGCAATGTAAACCAAATAAAGTAAACAAAACCGTACAAATAACATTACAATATACATGTGTATGTTTAAAACATAACAAACCTTTTTTTTTAATTATTTAAAAAACTGGTGTAAGTTAAAATCTGTTAAAATAATTAACTGTTGAAATCGAGCTTTCGTCAACTGTCATTTTCATGCAAAGGTCTATCCACAGTCACCGATACGACATCCCATGGATAACTTGTATCGACAGATGGCTTTTACAATCCGTCCATTTGGATTAATATACTTTCTCAGATGGTGGATTATGGATTGAGATAGTTTATTGGGTTCGGGCGTTATATAGTAATGTTTGAGTGTGTGTGTGAGAAATATCGTGTTATGTTGCAGGAGCTATGGCGTGTCGAGTGCGGCTATAGGCCTCAGCTGTCCGCCGCCGCCAGTCTTTCTGCCAGTGAGTACAAAACAACATACAAAAACAATACCAGATAACTGTTTAACTTTTAAGCATTATTGCCTAATACATGCCAAAAGTACCGTTACTTTTCGAGCGAATCGTTAAGCAGTTAAGTATCTTTTAACTATCATTGATTTGAGTTCATATCAATTTTAGATTACCGACATTTTAATTAAATAATTATGATTTCTACAATTAACTGCGACCGAGAATTCGTAAATGGTAAACACTATTTATAAAGTCAGGTACGACAATAATTTAATGTCTGTTCGAATGAATATAATGTTAATAGTTTTCAGTGTTATATAACGCTGGTGTAATCGTTACGGAGAAATACAACCTTCTTAACGACTTCATTTCTGGACAAACACATAGATCACATATAAAGTACTTACTGTCTTGTTTCATCTAAGTCTAAATAAAATTTGCTAGAAAGTCGCGGACGACTTTTAAGTGTAAGGCGGCATGCCTAATGTTATCCTTAGCAAGTGTTAAACGCACACAGAAATAAAAGCAGGTGCAAAGCCAGGAGTCGTACGTTCGAGTCAATAGGCCAACACTGCTTTGTCTATTCATTTATTTATTGAAGTTAACCATATGTATTTAATACTATCCTACCTTTATGTTACCAGCTATCTTTTCTAAAATATATGAAAGTAATGGTACATTCTTTTACGTTTTAATAGTATTTTTTTTTGCTTATTTTTAAGCAAAATATACCAGCATACAGCGGATTAGGTATGAGATAGGCAATTAATGCTTTCTTTACAATTAGTATTATGCCACATTGATAAATAAATGCGCTAACAAAATCGGATTATATCTACAATATTCACTGCAACGTTGATACTAGTTAATATATATATATATATATATATATATATAGCTGGATGGGGAGAGAACACCCGTCGTGTACCATTGTGATCTCTTTGTTTGTTCGAGCGGTCGTCGTTTGTCAATCAATTAAAAAAACCTGCTTTACATCGAGTTTGTTTGTCTATATCGCAATAAATAATGAATAAAACTGTTTCGTCGTGTTACGATAGGCGTAGATGTAAAGTTTACAATAGATGCTTAGGTTAACAATTAAAAAACAATGTTTAGACGTTAAAAAATTCGTAAATATACCGTCTGCTAAAACCAATGTAGGAGTTCAAGCAAATCTCATACGCATTTGTCGCGAATATATCAGAATAAACACTACTTATCCAGAGCTTAATATAATCGGTTGTGGGCTGATCAATTTAAAAAAAAAGCATGCTTAAGGGTCTATCTGATCTAATCCGCTATTTTGTTAGTAATTTTTAAATCTAAAATTGGTAGTGTAATATTTTTATTTTTTTGTAAAATTTATGTTTACCATAATTCTTATGTATTTTAGAAAATATAGCTTTTAACATATACTGGGGATATAGCATTGTATAAGATAAGGTGAACTTTAATAATTAAATATGTAGAAAATTGATGTAATATTGAATATGAAACGCACCAACAAAATTGTTACAGAATTTTTACGGATTTTGTGACACTACTGATAACCCGAGAATGCTATGATAATACTTTTTAGATGCTGTTCGGGGAGGAGCATAGGTCAAGGATCACAAAAAGATAGACCGCGATATCTCAAACGATATTTTACTAAGATCATAGATAAGTGCACACTTAAACCGTCATCCATCTTCGAAAGTGTTAATATTTTGTGGCTCATAAAATATTTATTGGTTTTCGTGAAATAGTCCGCACAAAAAGTGCCCGCCGAACTTAGCGGCAAAAAAATACGTGTCGAAAGTTTTCCGGATATGTTTTTAGAAC